GTTTACAACATTAAATCAAACTCTTATTGAGTTCATCCCTACACTCTATTTATTTTGGAGGATCACTGATACAGTATGTGTGTGTGTATATTTATACACATGCGTGTGTGTGTATATATGTGTGTATGTGTAGAAGAGTTATGAACCTTCAGCATTATCCATTACAGCTAACTCTTTGTTTCCTGTCCTCATACTCAAGAGTATTTCCAAGCACTGTTTGGCCAGCACAACGTTTGAGTTGGCTGCCTTCAGTATGAAGGTTCAGAAAATAATGGTAGATGAAAGACTCTGCCTGCCATCGTGGGCAGGGAGGATGCAAGAGACATATGCTTGCAGTTTGCTAACAAAGAACCATCCAAAAGGAAATTTACAGTTTTTGTCTTTGTTGGAGGTTCCTCTCAAAGCTTAGAAGTGCTGTGGCCAGATAAATTGCTGTGATAGCTCTGAACCAAGATAGACAGCTAAAATGAATTAGATACTAGGAAATAATATTTGATCATTAGATTAAAGTCCTCTCATGTGCAGGGCCAGATTTGTTCTGGTTATTCATGAGAAATATCCTTCTTAGCTTCAATAGAAGTATTTGTGATGGAGACTCATCAAATTGTGGTCCCTGGTATCCAATTCTGTGTGTTGAGACAGTTACATATTTACAACTGGATTTAAGACCAGCTTCAACATGAAGTTCCCCAAACCATCATCAAGATGTAGCTGCTTTCAGGTGTTGCAAAATGGGGACCCCGAGAGAAAAGCCAGATTCCAGTGAGACTAATCAATCCTTGCTTGGTTCTGGATGATCCTCAACATGATAACAGATCACACATTATCCTGGTTTAATTTTCTTTTTGTATATCTGTGTGGTAGGTAGAAGTAATATCTGTTACTTGGCCAACTGGTGTAGTTGGTAAAAACAAGCTTCAGTGCTGGCACTGTTAACTTCAAAGTTAACTGCAAATCCAAGAACTATTGCTTAGGGTTGACTAGATATGCATCAGTTTGATCATCTCTGAAACAGATGACTGTATCTCAGAGAACGTGGAACTGATACCTGTAGGAGAATGGTATATGGTGCAGGAGAGGGAGATAGAAACAAAGAAAGATGGTAAGGTGGTTTTGTCCTAAAAGGAAAAGCAAGATGGTTTATAGCCTGTGGACTTGGAGAGTTAGGGAAAGGTGGAAGGGCAATTATAATGTGCTCTAAAACAAGCATCTCTATTAAGTTTCATGCATTATCTTCTCAGTATGGGAACTAAAGTTCATGATTAAATATATTCTGTATAGATGTGATGCTCATGATAACTACCTCGGAGTGGGTTTGTGTGCCCAAAAGCTTATGTCATTTTTCAAATTCTAACAGTTGATCGTATAAAAGATTTGACTTCTACCTGCTCACCTCCACCTCTCTTGCCTGGATCCTTAAACCACCACATCTCCAGCAAGACATCAACAGCAAGTGGATATTAACATTTCTTTTGTTTTCCTAGAAGTAAAACTATACTATAAACACTTTAATGCCATGAGTATTTTATAAAAGTTTGAAGATCCTCTAAGGCAAAATACAGTAAAAAAGCAGAGTCCTCGTGTTACAGCATTGCACTGTTAACAGACTAGTTCTTCAGAGGCGGCTTGGAGAACGATCCCTCACCTGGCTTTGGCAGCCAGGGCTGCGTTTTTGGCCACACCATTCAGCATACCAGCACGTGTCTGAACAGATCCTGCTGTGCTAAATTAGCCCCAGCATGGCTGTTGTTTCACTCTGATTAAAAACTAGCATCTGCAAAGCGCTAATGGTGCTGAAGAGACCTTAGATGTAGGATAGTCCCCATCACTGTGGTGTCTGAAGGCTTCACAGGATGTCTGTCCATCTCCTTATGAAGTTAACATGTATTATTCTGCCTATTTGGGAAACACTCAAATACTGAGACTTTTTTTTCTGGAATTACCAGAATTGCATAGTGAACACAGAGTTAGTGGTGGTAGAAGGCAGTTCGTGAGCTACTGGAACCAGCAGTTTCTTAATGAAACCACCAGCATTTCCGAAAATGATCTTTAAACTTAAGAAAATATATATAGCCTTTATCTGAGCTACATGCCCGATTAAAATTCTCATCTAGCAAAAATGCACTTGCAAGTCCTTCTGGAGGCTGGCAGGAAAGATCTTCTGGAAGAGCTGGCAAGGGTATTATACCCCAAGAACTCATTCTGCCCATGTTTCCAAAATAAAATTTGACAAGTGGGAAACATGAGCTGTGCTTATGCAGCTTGTTAACAAACTTGTTCATAAAGCAAAATGCTTCATTAGCTTTAGAGGAAAAATGTTCTTTGCAAATGGAAGTAAATTTTCTCTGTGCAACTTGGTCTTTTTGATCAGTTACTGAATGGATACTTGGACTTGTAGCTGTCTACATATTAAGTGTTCAGCTTAGTTTTCTTCTGCAGATCTGTAGTATGACGGTCAGTGCTCCCAGTTGGCACATGTTGAGGACACTTACCTTCAGCGAGGAAGTGTCCTTGGACAGAGTAGAGCGCTCATGACATTTTGGAGTGGACTGTAGGACCTGTCTGCACTGAAAGACTGAGTGGGTGCAAGGAGAGTGGATGCAAATCTGCACATGCTTGTGTACCTAAGCTAACGAGCTGTGCAGGGCAGGCAATACACCCAGAGTCTTATCAGGCTGCTGGGTCATCTCATAATAGAAGTTACCCGGAGGCAGTCAGGGACACTCTGTATCATGTCATTCGGGTCATGTAGGTGTGGCTGTGGTAAAGCTGTGGGAGCTACTTCACGTGATGGTTTCATGCTAGAGAAATACAGAAAATGCACTGTATGGCAAGGCAAGGTGGGCTCTGTGTCCATCTGGGAGCATCTACTGCATGGGATCCATCAGGTTCTGTGCTGGGCCTGGCAGTATTGCCTGTAAGAGACAGAGGATGGAACAGTGAACATGATGCTTAACCTAGATGCTGCCTCAACAAACTTTTAGCTGCCTGGCCCCAGTGGGAAATCCAGACCAACCTGACTTCATGTCAGTGGGAGAAATTATCAGAAGGAATCCTCTTCAGAGGGAGATCTGAAGATCTTCCAGTTCTCAGTCAAACACCACTCCTTCTCCATCAATGGCATAGGGACCCAGGAGAGGATGTCAGGTGCCATTTGGGAGCCATGCTTTGCTCATGATACCCGTTCTTCTGTATACATGAGATAGAGGTTATGTGGCAATGGCAGTCAGCCAAGTACCCTGCCCAGTTGCAGGTGGGCTACCCTGACTGGGAACCCTGCTCCTTCCTGCCCACAATCACACTGGTTCCAGTACTCTTGAATAACTCACTATAGATCAGCTCTGTTGCAATAGGACGGGATTGGTGGCTCTCCACTCTTTGGAGATGGAAGATTAGTCTCTCACCTTACTCCCAAGAGTAAGTAGTTCCTCTCATCTCTTTTCATTTCTTGGTTGAGTGTTACCAGCAGGAAGAAGGGGAGCAATTTGGAGGAGACTGGTCCCAGAGAGCACTTCTTAGATATGCCATTGACCCGAAGGTAGAAAAACCCACCCTGTCCTTTGAAGAACAGGGTTGCAGTTTGGAACAACCTGGGCAAAATGAAAGGAATGTCTCCAGTTCATGGGACATATAAATGGAAACAGCAGGCTGGGGTATGTAAGCAAAGTTTAATCTTTTGAGAAACACAAAGCAATGCTGCCATTCTGCTGCCTTAGTTGGAAAATAGTGAACACTTTGGGTACCGCCCTCTCAGAAGGATGTGGACTTGTTGGAGGAAGTCCAGGGAAGCTCACTAGATCAGAGGATTAGAAAATATGAGTTATGAAGAAACAGCGAGAGTCAGTTTGTTTAGTCTAGAGAAGAGAAGACATAGAGAAGACATGATAACAGTCTTCAAATATGTGAAAGGATGCTTCAAAGACAAAGGGAATAAACGATTTTCCACGTCTTCTGGGAGACAGTGGGGCACTGTCATAGGTTGCCTGAGGAGTTTCCATCTTTTGGAGATCCTTAAGGACTGGTTAGCCAAATATCTGTCAGAATTATTTTGACAGAGCTAGGGCTGGGGGAAAGGACTAGATGACTGTTGAGTCCCCTGAACCCTCTGATTATTTTATTGGAGATCCCAGGACTGGGAAGCTCTGGGCCTGATGGATTCTTCAATTTCTTTTAATTTTTTATTGCTAATGGACATTGGGTTTCTATCCTGTGGCCAAAAAAATTACTTCTGAAAACATCACATAAAACATAGGTTTGCTTCCTGCCTTCACCTACATTAGTGAGTACTAATTACCCCAGTACATGGCCCAACATCTGTTCACTATGATGCCTTCTCTTGCAACAGATCTCATGCCTTGAGGGGTTAAAAGAAATAATTGTGTTTACTGGAGATTTGAATATATCTTTATCTGTTCAAGCAACTGTGCAAGATCAGTTAAGTTTTTAGGTTGAGTGTTGTTCAGCTTAAGTTATTTATGCAGCCTGTGCTGCTTTAGTGAGCGTCCATGTATCTGCTTTACTGTAAATCTCCATTAATCATGATGAATGGCTATGTATGTTGCAGGGTGGCAGGAAAATCTCCAGTGCAAACAGAAATCAGACAGCTTGGAGTGGCTCTGGAAGCTGCTGCATGGTTGAGGTTAAAAGTAGTCTCAGCCTGTTGATGTTAAATCTTTAGTTGTAAAGAAAAAAAAAGGTAGAATGTTTTCATCCAGGGCTGTAATGGTGATAGAAAGCAGCCACGCACCAACAAAATAAGGTCGTACCTCTTTGTAGCTGCCAGACTTACAAGCCTTATCTATGCTCGCTTTTATTGCCCCAGATTTTCCACCACTGCTGCCAGCAGAATCAGCGGTAGGAAGTTTGAGCCCTCGTGTGAGTGAAATCATCATAACTACAGAAGCAATCACACCTTGGACCAGCTTTCTCCATTGAGGAGAAGAAGAGTATTCAAGGAGAGCAAAAGATCTCTTAAAACTTGTCTTGTTTGTCCATTTCAGGATTGCTGGTGACACAGCACTCAGCAAAAACATCCACGAGTCAGTCAGTGCTCAGATTCGGAAGAACTTTGCGAAAAGCAAATGGAGAGTAAGTGACTTGTCCTCAGGGGTGACACTTAGACACATAACTCTGCTAATGTGGCAGCCGTTCAGACACCCTTTCAGCATGTTCGTGCTTTTGTGGCCCAAAATTTTGGTCAAAATAGTTAGTCCAGTCTTAGGTTACATGGTCTTGAAGGGCCTTTTAAGGAGGATACTACTAACCAAGTGTATAAACATGAGTGTGGGAGATGGGGCGGGGGCTGCTCATAGCAGAGTTGGGGTCAGCACTGTGGTGGGACATGAAGCAATGCAGACAACCTGTGTGTTGGTGCAAGGAAGGATGTGTCAAATACGACTTTCCTTGTGGGCTGCTGCATCCCAGCTGAGTGCTAGAAGAAATAATGGGGAGTGGGACCAGGCCAGAAGTGCCTATGGTTTAATATGGCTGTTCCTAGCTTAGAAACTAGAAATTGGGAAAAGTTTGAAAGATGGTGGACTCATCCACTTCTGACAACTCTGCTTAGCAAGGAGAGGAGCAAAAGTAACTTTTCCACTTCCAACTTTTTAAAAATTTTTCTCATTTTTGTTTTTCCAGCAAGCGTTTAATGCCACAGCGGTCGTGAGACACATGAGACGGTTACACCTCGGCAGCAGCCTGGACAGCGCGAACGCCAGCGTGTCAAGCAGCCTCAGCCTCGCCACGCCGCTTCCTGACGCAGCCACAAGGAAAGATTGTGAGTAGCCAACAGCCCTGTAAATCTCCCACTGTGGCAACCAAGCAGATTTGCGAGGTCCCCGTTTCCTCCTTGTCCCCCAGGCTGCAGTCCTCACTTCCAGTAGGTTCATCTTTCTGCAAGCAGGTGTTTAAAATAAGGACTGAAAAGGAACTGAGGCCTTCATTTTGAGCTGGCCAAAAAAAAAATGATTCAACTGAAAAAGTTTATGCACTAAAAAAATATGTGAATTTTTAGCTCAGTGCATTTTTAAGAGAAAAACACTGTTTCTTGTAGAGAAAAAGAGCTTTCACTTGGGAAAAAGACCCAGATCCCTACAGCAAAAAAACTTTTGGTTTTGGTTGAAAGCTGAAAAAGTTTACTCAAGCTGTTTATGTTTGAGTTTCCAGTATTATGATAAGACATTTTTCTGTAAAAATTGGCTTAGTTTCCATTTTCATTTTTCATGGAAGAGACTGATCCTGCCAGTCTCACCCAGTTTCCCTCTCCCTGGGCCAAATTAAGCTCCTGTACGAAGAGGCTTATTTGTCTGAGCAGGTCTCATGCTCTGCACACCACAGCGGGACCTGACCTGCTGCCTTGTTTGTTATATGCTATAATTGAGATTTTCAAGCTGCCCAATGGAGTCAGATGCTTGGGGTATATATTTTTTCTGAATGCCAGGGAAGGAGACATGATAGTGAAGGGATCATTTGGAAGATGGAAATGCTTCCTTTGTGATTAAGTCCATTTAATTATACAATCATAGCATGGCTTGGATTTGAAGGAACCTTAAAGATCATCCAGTTCCAACCCCCCTGCTGTAGACAGGGCTGCCAACCACTAGACCAGGCTGCCCAAGGCCCCATCCAACCTGACCTTGAACACTTCCAGGGAGGGGGCATCTACAGCTTCTCTGGGCAACCTGTTCCAGTGCCTCACCATCCTCTGGGTGAAAAATTCCCCCCTGATATCCAACCTAAATCTCCCTTCTCTTAGTTTAAAACCATTTCCCCTTGTCCTATCACTATCTTCTGAGCATTTATTTTATTCCCTTCTGTCCATCTGTAGAGATTTTTATATCATGAAATAGAGGGATGTGGACTTTACAATTAGAGATTATTACAAAATCATAGAATCGTTTGGTTGGAAAAGGCCTTTGAGATCATCAAATCCAACCATACAACAACCATACATTATTATAAAGCGCAGCACCAAAAAGGAATGCTAATAGTTTATGGTATGGCAAGTCAGTGCTTACCTCACTGCGGAATGAAGCTATACCCTGCACTGCTCTAGAAAGCACCTGCTATTCAGGACAAGGGGCAATGGGAAAAAACTGGAACACCAGGAGTTCCAGACAAACCTAAGGAAAAACTTCTTTCCTGTGAGGGTGCTGGAGCCCTGGGACAGGCTGCCCAGAGAGGTTGTGGAGTCTCCATCCCTGGAGATGTTCAAAACCCACCTGGACACTTTCCTGTGCAACTTGTTCTAGGTGACCCTCATTTGGTAGGGGGGTTGGACTGGATGATCTCCTGAGATCCCTTCCAAACCCTGACCATTCTAAGATTCTGTGATTATTCAGGATGGGTTGTGGATGGTGCCATATCTGCCACCCCTGCCTGCCAACTTCGGCTCCTTGATGAGGACATGCCACCAGCCACAGTGCCAACAGCTCTGGACAAAAGCTGTGATTTCTCTTGCTGTCATGGGCATGGTTTCCCCATGGCTGGGGTGGGATCTGCCTTCTGGGTGCTCTGTGAGATGTTTTTCCTGGCCTGTGCCATGGCTGAGCTAGAGCAGAGCCCCTCCTCTCTGCATCTCAGGCCTGATGGGGTTTCATGTCCTGTGCCCAGTTTGTGATGCCCAGTGCCAAATTCTACAGCTGCTACTGAAAAACCATCACTGTGCTCCTGGCACACACCTGGCACCTGCAAAAGAGCAATGAAGGGCTGACTGGCAACTAAGTGCTTCCAGCCGTGCCCTGGTAACGCAGCGGTGCAGAAAACACCTTACAGGGGAGATAGACGCCTTTATTTTGGTTCCTGTCACGGTATGGCTAAGCTGGACCCTAGTTAGGTCTATAGCATCTGATGGCATGCTTTGCTGTTAAACTGGCGGGTGATTAATGTCCATCCATCCATTTGATTAATCTCAAATGTTGTTAATTAATAGCATTGAATAGTAATGGAAAAACATCTGTGAACAAGAAGGGTAGGAAGAGAACAAAGTGTTCTAACTGCTACAGAATCCAACAGGTCTCTGTAAAGAATCCAACCATATTTTGCAGTGATGGAGAAGTCATCTAGGATATGAAGGATAAGATCAGGTGTGTTAAGATAGGTGAAGTTTTTTTCATGTCAGAAATGTAAGGCAGAAAAGTGTTTCCAAGCATCCCAGGTTAAGTCTGGCTTGCCAGACAGTACAGAAGAGCCTCCCTTCCTCAAAGAAATTAATTAAAGAGTAAGGAGATCCTGAAGCCCCAGAGAACCAGTGACGAGAGCCAGCAGCAAATACAAAGAGTGATATTAAGAGGGAGCTGACATATCAATTGCACTCCAAATACCTCCTGTTGGGAAAAAGGAAACCTCTGCAGTCTCTGTCCTGCCTCTTTCTTTCTCAGCAGTTTTCTCTGGGGACAGATTTCTTGCACGAGAAAGATCCCATGCAGCAAGTTACATGAAACAGCTGTGCCACCGTTACAAAATATAATACTGCCTAATGCTATTAATAGACGTTTAATGAGCTCTCCAAATAGTTTCAAACACAGCAATTTCACATCATTGAAGACAATTAAATACAGCCTTTGCCTGAGAGTAGATGATGTTTGGCTGCATCCTAATTCTGGTCTCTGTATTAGGGTGGAGCAGAGATGATGCATCAGGCTGGATTATGCTACCTGTCAGGAAAGTCTAAGTGAATCAGTTGGGATTCCTCTGGTGTATTGGCCTGATTCTCAATCAATGCCTATTTTGTTCTGTTTAGACATGATTGGACTGAACATAATCTAGATCTCTCTTTTTTTAAGGTAATAGATAAATTGCAGCGTGAAGCCAAGATGTCAAATGTCGATATTGCTGGGAAAAGGGATGTGTCCCGGTGTAGGTACAGCATAGTCATCCCTGAGGTTGAAATGCCTCCTTGAAGCACAGAAAAGTAGGCAAAAGTCATAACAAGCATCAACAAGATCCTGAATAGTCAAGGGGCCATATCAAACTTCAGGCAGAGAGTATGTTAATATAGGTTTCATCCATCCTTTATTCACCAGGCTGGAAAAATTAACTGTATTTCTAATCACTCCAAGTCTGCATCTTGTCAGAATGAGGTGACCATATCAGGTCCCCATTCAGCAGCTTTTCTTGTACCAGAACTGCCTTTGCACATCAGTGCCTACAAGACTGCCAAACCGCATGGAGATCTGCATGTGCCGGCAAAATCTAAGGATCTCCCTATTGGGGTCTCAACAGCTGATGGGAGAGGTGTAGTTCATCCACAGAAAGCTCTGGCAAGGATATATTTTCTTCTCTTCATTAATGCTTTCCATAGAAACTGCTGACATTGTGCTGGAATAGCAAAATCTTGAATCTGTCATTCAAAACAGCCTGCTTTGGGTTTTGAGGGGTTATACTTTGGAGAGTTTGGTTTTTAAGGTTGTGGTGGAGGGTTCACTGGAAGCAGACACTTTCTTTAAACATTGGAATTTAGCTAAAATCCATTTTTTAAATAAAAATATAACAGAAGTCTTTTTTTTTTTTTTTTTTCAAAAGGAACTGCCCGGGTAAATTTTGAGTCTAGATACTCAACCTACGTCAACCTACTTCTCTTAGCTGGAAGTCCTGGAGACATACCAACAAAATCTGGAGTGACATAAGCTGTTGCTAGAATAATGTCCAAGTCACAAAAATTTACATTTCTTCTAGGTTTACTGGAATTCATCAACAAATTTGACCCACTGTACTTTTTTATCAGCAGCTTTGCAGGATGCCTGGGGAAATTTTTTTAGTCCAGGTGTACAGTCTGTTCTTTTAGCTAGATGACCATGATGAGAAGTTTAATCATCTTTAACATGCCCATAAGGAAAATTATTCTGAGCAAGTACAATGCTGGAGGGATTTCTGAATCCCACAACTCTGTCTTCAGCCTCCGAAATGTGGAATTGGTCTAGTTGAACACATACCAAAGCTGGACATTTATTCATTGTGAATAAATATGCAACCGCTGGTGGTGGCAGTAGGTGAACGGCCATGGCCAGGAGGGCAGAAGATGCCCCGTGGAGGTACCAAGCCAAGCCACCACTGTGGGAAGAGCAGGAGTGCAGTCTCGAGCTGCGGTCCCCTCCGCTCTGTAGAGTGCTACGAAAGAAACTCAGCTTTGCCAACGTTCCTGCCTCCAAAAATAACATTTCTAACTGTGTTTCTGGCTTTCCTTTTAGGTATGTCTCCATCCACTCTCTGTAGTTTTGTTTCATCTGCTTCTTCAGGCATTTCTGCAGTAGGAGGGGACCGGAGACCCAGACCCACCACAGTGACCACAGTGCACACAGGGAGCAAGTGAGAGCCGGGATGGCGAGGAGCGGGCAGGCGGCTGGGCTGGCAGGTTGCCTCTGCGCGATCCCACCCTGCGGTGCACTCTCAGCGAAGGACTAGAAGAAAGAAGATTTTTTATGGCCATATTTTATACTGCAATTCTGAAATGTTTCATTTATCACAAACTGCAATGACTCCAGGGGGAACGGATCTAACAGTCTCTGGTGCTGTACATATATATACATATATATACATATATATATATATATATATGTGAGTCTAGCAATGTTCTAACTAATGAACACTCATTCTTCTCCCCAGTGATTTACTCTTTTCTCATTGTAGGTAACAGTACATGTTGTATTTTTTTCCATTAACTGCGAACATCTCAACTGGATTATTTAAATAGAGATACTTTTCTGAGCATTATATGTTTTTTTTCTTTTAAAAAGTACTTCCAGTAATGTCCCTCCTTCCAGTTTGCTGGAGGATAGGCTATTTCTGTAGGTAGGAATTGACGTTAACTTTGCAACATGGGAGGATTTCAATGGCACGCCATTTCTTGCTCCTCAAATTGGACTGCAAGTCTGCCTGGTTTTAGCAGAGTTGTTACTGCTCAGATTAAGAAACTGCTGCTTTCCTCCCCTCCTTCTTCTTGAAAACCATGGCAAGAGTTAGAATGCCACCAGCTGGGAGTCAGCTCATTCTCGGTCTATTTCCTGTAGCGCTGGGGATCTGCAGCACCCTTGTTTCAGAGGAGAAGTGGGTACATGATGATGGTCAGGAGCCAACCACAGCTGAGCAAATTAAATGACAGACCATGGTCTCATCCTGCAGCTCCTGTCTCCTTCGAGTTGCTGTGTATTATGAGCAGAAGGAACTAAAAGGAAGATGTGGGGCTGGGAGTTGTAGCCATCCTCTACCACTGACTCGCTGTGCTGCCCTCGACCAAGATATTTAATTCACCAGTCTCCTCCCAGCCTGGCTTCTGGAGCTGGGCACATCCATCCTGAGGGCTTTGTGCCAGAGGTGCTGAGCACCTGCAGCTCCTCAGGGTTTGCTGATGCTCAGCACCTTCCGGATTGGCCAAAACTGTATTAAAAACCAAATCGAAAAGTTTGAACTTTGATTTCTGTGTGCATGGTTTTACCCCCAGGAAGAAGGATGGTGCTTGCACCCCTCTGTGAAGCACTGGCAGGTTCTTGGGTGCAAAGTGCAGGATCTGGTGTAACATTGCTCCATTGACACTTAGCTCTGGCTGAGGAGTGGTGAGGAGCACTGAGCTGGGAAAGTAGGACCACACCAAAAGGCATGGGCACATGCAGGGGCAGTGACGGCACTGCCTCCCCCTCCTCCCCAGAAACTCATATGCAAAAGAAGCTCAATTTCTCCATTTTTTTAATTACTAAATACATGCACTTCCCAGGCCACGTGTGCTGGTGCATTTTTCAGGAACAGCCACCATGACTGTCGTGCAGCCACACATCAAAAAAGCTTGAAATAGAGAGGAAAGTGAATCCACGCAGATTTGCCGAAGGGCTCCAGGTTACTTCTATGCCATTCCCAGCTGTGATTTTCCTTTGAGGAAGAGAGAAGCGAGGTGTGTAGCAGAGGCAAACAGTCTTCCCAGCTGCTGTGAGCCTGTTGCACCCAGACAGGTCCATCCCCAGCCAGAAGCACAAGCCATTCCCACAGTGTGCTCTATTGTCGTGCTTGTCTCATTTACTCTGCACAAGAAATTGTGAAAGCCAGTCACAGACACAGCTGAATGTACCAGGCAACAGTGACTATGCTGGGAAAAGCCATATGATACATATTTTTCATTGAGACTTCAAAACTCTGCTTCAACTTCAGTCAGTTGGCTTTGACCAGCAGATCTGTGATTTCATCCATCGTATTTTGAGCACTAAAAGCTGGAAAAGCAGGTGGGAGTGAGCACTGGCTCTGTTTGAAATAATCTCTCCTTTGGTGGAGACTTAAAGGTGGACACTTAAAGGTGTTGCACCCAATAGTTCTCTAGTTTCCTGGTATTAAGCTGATCCCCATTTTCAGTGGACTGTGGCACAGGAGTGTTGATCTGCTTGAGGGTAGGAAGGCTCTACAGAGGGATCTGGACAGTCTGGGTCAATGGGCTGAGGCCAACTGTATGAGGTTCAACAAGGCCAGATCCTGCATTTGGGTCACAACAACCCCATGCAATGCTACAAGCTTGGGGAGGAGTGGCTGGAAAGCTGCCTGGTGGAAAGGGACCTGGGGATGCTGGTCAACAGCAGCTGAACATGAGCCAGCAGTGTGCCCAGGTGGACAAGAAGGGCAATGGCATCCTGGCCTGTGTCAGGAGCAGTGTGGCCAGCAGGACCAGGGGAGTGATCGTCCCCCTGTACTGGGCACTGGTGAGGCCGCAGCTCGAGTACTGGGTTCAGTTTTGGGCCCCTCACTCCAAGAAGGACGTGGAGGTGCTGGAGCGTGTCCAGCGAAGGGCAACGGAGCTGGGGAAGGGTCTGGAGCACAGGTGTGATGAGTTCATGGCTGAGGGAACTGGGGTTGCTTAGCCTGGAGAAAAGGAGGCTGAGGGGAGACCTTCTGGCTCTCTGCAACTACTTGTAAGGAGGGTGTAGAGAGGTGGGTCTCAGTCTCCCAAGTAACAAGTGACAGGATGAGAAGAAATGGCCTGAAGTTGCATCAGGGGAGGTTTAGATTAGTTATTAGAAAAAACTTCTTCACTAAAAGGGTTATGAAGCATTGGAACAGGCTGCCTAGGGATGTGGTTGAGCCACCATCCCTGGAGGCATTTAAAAGATGTGTAGATGTGGTGCTTAGGGACATGGTTTAGAGGTGGACTTGGCATTGTTAGGTTTACGGTTGGACTTAGTGATCTTAAAGGTCTTTTCCAACCAAAACAATTCTATGATTCTATCTGAGTGAGCCCCTGGGAGCCAGTGGTGCCTGCCACCATGTTGCAGTGGCATGGGTGCTCATGCAGAGATGCTTCAACTTCTCATGTTAGGAAAGATGCCAGATATTGGTCTCTTGGAGACTGGTAGCAAAACTCCATATAATTTCCCCAGTGAGGACTTCTGACTGAGATTTGGGCAGACTGAAGGGCAGGGGATCTCCTTGCTGCAAGTCACGCTCCTGTGCCCATCCTCAGGCCACTGCCACCATATACTCCTGCCCCATTGACAAAGAGTAGAATGAGCTTTATTGGCATTTACCCTTGGGGCTCTTTAGATTTTGCTGCAAAGGCATCTGAAAATGAGTATAATACAATTTAACCTTATTCTAAGGCCACTTCATTTTTCCAGCCTGAATAAGGAAACTTTAGTTTAGGAAAGACTCCTATCCCAAGAAATTAAAATTATTTTGAACCCACATAAGCTTAGCTGGCCTACTCTGCTCCAGTTGCATGGATGTAAATAGGCAGTCCTCCAGTTTGGAGTCAGTGGAACTCCTCATGTTTACGCACATGCAACCACAAGCAGGATTTGGTTAGGAAATATTTTTGACTTTGTACAGTTGTTTCAAAGACTAGGGCTCAAGCATTGCCTGTTTGCCTTCTCTTCTGAAACCTGAGGTCTGGTTTGAAATTGATGTAGTTGCTGAGGCCACTAATCAAAATACAGCATCCAAATATATCTTGGGGTGGGGGGGGGGGAAAGAATGGAAAAAAAAAAAAAGAAAGAAAAAGCAAATAGGTGTCTGACTGCAAAACAAAGAGCAGTGACGGGAGCAAAGGCAGACGTGCTGTCCTGTGGATGAGGGAGCTCCCATATGCTGGCTGCCCCTCCTTGCTGGATGCTTTCTGTGTTTTTTGTTGGGAGGGATATTCTTTCCTTCCACACTTGGAATTAGAGTGATTTGTTTTCCTTCCTGCAAGTAATATTTTGCTGTAGTTGTGTAATTTATCGTCGTTCTCTTTGGCTTGCTATCAACTGCTGGGATTTCAAGACAAGAAACAGAAGCACTTAAAAGCAAAATTGTTTCTTTCTGCTACAGTTTTGGGTGGTGGGAAGCTCTTCTTTTGTATCTGTGAAACACAGCTGGAGACCTGACTGGGGTTCACCACATGCTTAGAGATCTCTTCTGTCATTGAGTTCTTAAGAATCTCTTGGTTAAAACTTCTCAGTTTAAATCCATGCAACTAAGTTAACCAGGATGACTTACTTGGGACAGATTTATGAAGGGAGATGGAAATGTTTGCCCCTCGTCAGCTCTGCCTGGAATGGCAAACACTCCAGCATCACTTGCTGGATGCTCCAGTGCTGTTGCATGTCCTTCCCCTGCCCCAAGCCACCTCTGCTCAGCCACTCTCACAAGTGAATGCAAAGCCAGGAGTAAATAATATGTGCATGTGGGGAAAGGGCCCAAACATAGAGAATTTAAAACAAATTCCCAACTGCCCTTTCCATGAAGGAGCAGGTAGAAAAATCCCTCTGGGCTCTTTCCTGGTGGACCACCCTACCAAACAATGTGTAATTTGTTCCTCACATGAGGACTTCAGCCTGGACTTACCTATCTGTTACCCTTTTCTGCTTCATTTTACTGGTACCAATGTGTTTTCCCTTTGTAACTTGTTTTCCTCAGCTCCTTCCCCTTCTTTTTCTTTGCTTGCAGCTTTGATTGTTGATTTTTACCTCCAGAGTCACAGAGGCCATCTCTGATGCCAACAGCAGTGCTCTTGCTGGGAAAACAAACACAAAATCCAGAAAGCCTCCAGCCTGGCCCCTTAGCCTGCAGAAGAAGTCGTGAGGACAGGCTGCTCGTGAACTCTGTGAGCTGAAAGTCAGTATTGCAGTGGCAGGTGCTTCTCTGCTGATTTTGCATGTGACTTCATTCCCAGTGCATCCTAACTTTCTGCTGGATCATCCCTTCTGCAGCACGAAGTGGATTTTGGCCCTGCAGCATGGCTAGTGAGAAAGTAGAAGTACAGGGAAAACCTGGCAGTGATGCTTTCCTGAGACTGTGTTACTAAGCTGGTGATGTCTCTTCTGTCCTGGTTGCTATTGTACAGGTGCCATTAGAGTAGTGAGCCCAGAAAAAAAAAAAAAAAGTAGGATTTTACCTTTGACTTGTGTGTATATTATGGTTGTGGTGCTGAAATAAAACCATGCAATGACAGAGGTTTGTTCCTGATATGAATCAAACCACAAAAAGGGGCATCAGCCCACTGGTAGATATCTCCATGTAGTTCTGCAGTAGGCATTAGATAGGGGTTTCTGCTGTGCATGTGTCCTGCACACCTCCATGGCTATCAACAGTATTTTTTTTATAACCCCTGAGGGAATTTGGGATTTGTGCAAACCTTTTCCCAGTCCCAGGAGCCAACACAGCCCCTTGACCTCAGGCTTTTCTCCTCAAA